TTGAATTATTTTTAATACTAAAAATTATTGGCCATAAATAATAAAAATTTATTTTAATTAAAACCGGGAACTGATAAATAAATAAACTGTCTTGAATATTTATCAATCGCACGTGTCAGTTTGCTGGAATTGCATAAGTAATAGCTTGTTAAATAAACATAAAAGCAGCTGATAAAAAAATGAACAAGGGCGTTATTGTCTAGCATTTTAAATTTTCCATTTTAAAACTGAGGGTCGTTAAATAAAGCGATAAATAATCCATAATACGCGGTTTAGGTACCAAAACACCGAAATAGTCAAAATAGAAAAAAAAAATAATGCTTATTATACATACAAGAAGAATAAAGTCCCATTATTCATATTATGTATTAATGTAAAAATCAAAAGTCGTTTAAAATTGACAGAAACCATTTCAGCGACACTTAAGGCCCATAAAGAACACCACGTGTCGTTAAAAGGAGCCTGACAAGGGCTTACCTATGAGTGAAAAAAAAAAGTTACTATGTCTAAGACACTTTCTTCCTCTTTTTTTTGAATGGTTGAAGAGTGTAGAAGGATATTGAATTTATTGGGTTTCCTTCCGACAGAAAACTGGTCATATATGCAGACGCAAGATGTTCCGGATGGTAATTTGATAACGAAACTTAGAAATTGATCAGTACAGCTTTTGCATTTATTTTTTATAATTTTATTTAAACGCTGAACACCTGAAAATTTGTATATTTATAAGGAAGCCTGTTTTCTACTTCCTTAAAATTTTTTCCACTATCAGTCGCTTCGAATTTCATGTGTATAATTATACGGCTGCTCAATTTTTGGTTTTTGAATTTATAATCGGCTAATTATTTCTTGACAGTATAATTGGACTGTCAAAAATAGACGTAAAGTAAAAAGTATAATCCTGTAAGGAATGATTTCTATCAATAATTAAAGATATTAAATATTTTTAGGATACTCTGGCGTAATCCGTTGAAAAAAAAATCCTGCGTGGAATATACGTCCTCATTTCCAATCTACCGTCAAGGTTAAATTTGACCGTTACGCCTCAGCGTCTGTTCCTTATTCAGACTCTTCTTTGGTTCACTCTTTCTTCTTCTTAATCTTATTCTTATTCTTACTTGAGCTCCTGGTTCTTCTTCTGGTTCTTACATTGCATTAACAACCCCCAAAGGCATGATCACAAGCCTAAAAAAGATTATATTCTTTTACTTTTATTATACTCGTAGCAGTATACTATTATAAGGTAGTGATCGATTCGCAAGCCCTCGCACACCTGCTAATGGAGATGTAAAAAAAAGAACAGTTAAATAAAATATATTATAAAATAATAATAATGATGATGATAATGAATGAAAAAGTTAACAAGTATTGGAGACTGTTATTTATAATGTAACACATAAGACTTTACTCTGTTATACCATACTAGCAACCTTGCAGTCACTATGTGACGTGAATTATAAATAAATAAAATTTTGCTTTATATTAAATAATGACTTTTGTTAAATTGCACTGTACTTTTTTAAAGATATAAGCTCATTCCTATGTTACACTCATCAAGAGCTTTCATTTGAGTACCCACATGCATTTTTGATATATTTTTCATATATACATATATATATTAATATATAAAATATATGAAAAATTGATGTGGGTACTCAAATGAAAAGTCTCGATAAGTGTAACATCGAGATGAGCTTATATCTTTAAAAATGTCAATAGTTCACGAAATACAAGGTCATTTCTCAATTATCTATCTAGAGTTAGAGCATATTCGAATGCAGCCTAAATACTTTTCATCATATAAATACACTGGCCACAAAATTTTGCTTACTCTCTTAATAATACAGACTAGTAACATCCCTCTTTGCTTCTCTTATGTTACTCTACTGTCGCAGTGCTCTACTCACGCACCTGCCGTCTCAATTTACCCTGACACGATCAAGAGAGATTGTTCTTCCCATGTAATGCGTACCCATACTTACACCGCGAATTATCCACTTACACTTACACTTACAAAGATTGAGATAACTTTTCTGTACGCAACATTTAACATTCAATTGTCCGTGATAAATCTCTAAAGATAAATCTGATCTACCCTTTACATATTTTTATTTCTCAAACTTTCAAGCACGTACATTTTGCATTAAAATAAATTTTATAAATAAAGGATTGGGTAAATAAAAAAAACAAAGAAATTAAATGTCAATAATTTGTCTTTAATATTTTATTTTTTATAAACAATATGATTTTATTTAGTGTTGTGTTAGTTAATCTATTATAATTAGACTCTCTTAATTGCTATGTTTTTAAACTATTATCTTTTTAATAATCTATTGTATTGTTCTTACAGTAATTACGGTAATGTGTGTTGTCAATAAGCTAAAAAATGAAGTTGAATTAATTACCAAATAATTATAAGCGCTCAAAAACAATAGTATTGAGTTTGTACAATTTTAAAAAGCGGGACTTTTAGAATTTTTTTTTTTTTTTCTTTACATAAAAACACCCATGCACGCATACATTTTTATTTATTTATATATATTTATATAACAATTATTTATTAACTAATTTTATTAATGTTTACTGAGATCATACTAATACATCACAGGGTTACATTGATAATATTTTTTTTTTTTTACAATATTGTTGCTATTTTTTAGTTTTTTATATTTTTTGTTCTCAGTTATATTTGACGTAAGTCACTCAAGGACAAACAAGTTCTTGATTATACAGTCAAGGTATTTAAATTAAAAAATAATTTTATGTATGTCAATCAAACGTTACTAAAAAAATTACCAAAGTATTTCATTTATTAAGATTCGATATAATTTTGATTTTATTACGTTAACGTAATATATTATCGCTACATTTATTACAATTATTTATTAAATACAAATTTGTATAAATGCCTCAGTAATTTAAGTGTAATAATTCTAGTAATATAGTTATTAATTTAGCGCCACTAAAATATTAAATGTTTTAGTTTTTTTGTTTTAATTAATTTCAATTAATTCAAAAAATACAATGTTTAATTGTAATAGAAAAAAATAGCTCTGTGTAACCACCAGTCGTATTTTTGGCTATAATCTCAAGACGAAATAAAAAATACAAGTATAATATGTACGTTAATTTGAATGGGTACTGATACAATAATAATAAGTGATAAGAACAAAAAGGTGTGAGATGAACAAAAAAATTTTAATAAAAAAATATAATTTAAAAAAAAAATACAACAATAACAATAAAGAAACATGATCAGTGACGCGCTTCGAAAGTTTAATTTTTTAATTAAATTGTGACTTTATGAGCAAAATATAAAAATTATTAAATAATAATAATTAATGACAATTATTTATAGGAACGACTCAAAGCCAATGTGTGTATAAGTAGGACCGAAGGATAAATGATATTTTCTCAGTTTGTTAATCATTATTTTTTGTTAGTATTTCAACGGCGAGGTAACCAGGAAAAAAGGGGAACAATTTGATTTGTTGTCAAAATATATTTATTTATAATAAATATAAATTTTAAATTAGAATTTTCAAAGTGAGAATTTAATTTTTTTTTCTATTTTTTTTTATAAGGTACAAATAAAGATATAAAAAAAAAATAAGCAAATTCGCGAGATTAAGATTTGGCATCGGCTGTACTTTTAAAAGTTATTTTGTACAGGAGATCAATGCTTTTATTTTTGGGTAACGTAGTAAAGGTTATTTTAAATGTCTTTTTTTAAATAGTTACTTGACATTACCGTTGACTTTCTTTATACCTTAGTTTCTAAATATTTCTCAATAAAACCCGCATCTTAATCGTCGGAATAGAACATAGTTTAGAAAATCAAATAATAGAAAATTAAAGAAAGGGAAAAAGTAAATAACGGATTTTTTCTAGCCAAGCAACAAGTCAACGGTCAGAAAAAAAAAAGACTTTAGGAAATACGGGTACTCTTTAGCTTAATCTTAACAAAATACTTATCTAAAAACTACATACTGACGCTGTTTCAGATGCGTCACGCAAAGCATCTCGCTCTTTTATTTTCTATTTTCTCTTTGAGTCCATAGAAAATAAAAATAATGATAATTATAATAGTGATAGTAAAAAAAAAATAAAAATAAAAATACAATAAACAACAAAAGAAAAAGACATACAGTATAGTTATAAGTATATATATATATATTACAAATAAATTTAGGTAGTAAATTTTTCCATATTTTTTTCTTACAATAATTATTACTCTTAAATTAGTACTCTATCAATTAATTAATTATATAATTTTTTTATAATAATCTCTTCACGCTTTAGTTCCACGCGTCGCAATTATTTTTTTTTAAATTAAATTATATTTAACAAAAAAAAAATAATCACCCATAAACAACCAACGCCGAGGAATTTAAAACAATGAATATTGAACATAAAAAAAAATAATAAACAAACAAAAGTTTATTAATATATTTATAAATAATCATTTGATCCTTCACTCGGTACCTATTAATTATCCTCTTGTATATCATTTGGTGGTTTAATGCGTCTCAGTCAAATAAATCTAAAACGTGAATGGCACAGCCAAAGGATCTTATTATAAATAATTGATTATTGATCCTCAATTAGTGGCACTCGCTCAACTTTCACGTTGAGACAATTGATTAATTAATATTAATAATAATTATCATTATCAATAACAAATTATTGTATTTTAGAACGCTTTGATATATCACTGGACGCCGGGACATAAACGCGTTCATTAGCTTTTTAATTATTGAAATTTAATATAATATAATATATTTATTTATTTATGTTTATATTTATATATTTATATATATATAGTGATTTTTTAATTAAACTAGGAACAAAAATAATCTATTATAGAAAAGTAATTCAGTTATTTTAATTATTAATATTTTGTTTTTTTTTTTTTTTTAGAGGCCACAATTGTAACAGACGTCGTCGCAGTTAGATGATAAATAAGAGGAAGACACGATCCAATGAAGATAATAAAAAGTTTAGCTGCGTATCTGACCCGCGTTACGAGGCAATTTCTCTGGCGGCTCGATACTACTTTTCTTCGTGCTACTGTTTGACGTACGTTTGCGGGTTTTCATAAAATCTGAAACAGTTATAATTTTTAAATTATTTATTACAGTGGTAACTATTTTTTATTTTTTTTTCTAAATTTAAGATTTGTTTGAAAAAACTTGACAGTTTTTACAGAAAAAATTATTCGTTGGTAATTATTTAATTATTAAGTGGAGTCAAACTTATTTTTGGCCATAAAAAAATAGATCAATTGATGGATCATAATTTCTTTTTTCAACTTTTTTGTTTTTACCGCGGATTTATGGTGGTGATATTGATAATATTAAAAAATCATTTTTGAAAGTTGGAAAAAATTTTGGCTCTCATGTTTTTGGATAAAATTTGTAATCTATCTTTTTTTCATGTTTTTGGTATATTTTTTTTTATTGAAAAGTACACTGAGAAAAAAAAAATTTTTTGTCTAGAAAAAAATTTCTTTGCTCAAGAATTGTTTAAAATACATTTTGGTTTTTTAACAAAAGAATATCATTATCTATCATGATAATAAAATATTGGTATTAATTTTTATAGATTAACAAACGAATAGGTTCACTTGAATTAAACAAAAAATAATTCGTAATAATTATCCGTAACTCCTATTCTTTCCCGCTTCACAGCATTATTTATATTTGTTCGATCAATTCTTGAGACAAGAAAATTTTTTCAAAAGTAGTACTTTTTTTTCAGTGTACATAAAAAACGAACAACTTAAAAAAAAAAGAGTTGAATATCACAATTTTCAAAAAAATTTATAAATTTTTTTTTAAAATTTGTTAAAATTGTGATAATCAATTTTTTTTTTTTTTTTTTTTTCAAATTGTTCATTTTTTTTATGTATTTAAAAAAATACTTCAATAAAATGAAATAGAAATTTCATTGTAAATATTTCCCAATTCATTTTATAAAAGTAAATTCCGGAGTTGAAATAATATTTTTTTTTTTAGTTTAACATATTGAATATTCCGTGGTTAATAAATATCGATTGCAGTGAATATAAATAAATTCGCCGAGTTTTTCCTTTTGTTGACAATGACATTTGTAAATGACATCTGTACAAAATTTTCCAACCCTCCACTGCGACCGTATGTCACACACGCGACCAAAAAATATAATAGGGTCCTTGTATTGTCAAAAGAAATAATTTCTATCCCTTGCACCCTTTTAAATTAATGTGGTGATCTTGATCTTCCCCAACTTGTCGATATTTATTCAAATACATAGACTAGTAGTTTTGTTTGCTCACGTGTCGCCTTGGAAAAGTAAAGCATAAATAAAAGCCATTGAAGTTGAAGTAAATATAAAATAAAATTAAAGCAAATAAATATAATAAAGCTTCAAGGTATTTACTAAAAATTATTAGTTTTGTTTCTAGTTGATTAACAAGCACCGAATATATTTAGATATTTAAAACTTCAAGGCCGAGTCGCGTGGAAGTCTTGATAATTTATCGAGTGTGAGTGAGTGGGCACGTTCGCAAGAGAAACGATCCGCAAAAGTTAAAGTTAAGGTTGGTCATGGATTATGATGGCGAAATAAACGCCATTTTTATTATTATGCATTTAAATTTAATATTAAACATTTATATTTTGGTAACATGCCGGCATCTAAATACAACCGAAATGAAAAATAAATAATAAGCTCAAAGCGAACGCCAACTGGAGTTATATCAAGTTCGCTTTGATTTAAACCAAGAAATTTATTTGCTCAATTGAAAAGCGGTGACAAGCATGCGGGACACCTTAGAACAATAGCAACAGAGAAAAAAACAAGTACCATATGGGTCACTTGAGCATTAAATGCTTGAACGAAGGCCAACGAACGGTTTTTTCTTCGATCTATATAATTCAAAAAAATTTGCACATGCGGGCAGAAAAAATGTTGCAATTTAAAACAACAATTCAATTGCTAAATCAGCTTTTCATTCATATCAATTTAATTAATTAATTAAATAGCCGATATAATTTATTTTCACGGTATTAAGATAGTACGAGCGCTAGGCGGGGTGGGAATAGGTATCGACTTTACGGTAAGGGGAGAGCAGTAAATATATGATTTTTCTCAATATATAGATGTACATTTAATTTAACATTGGCTAATAGCGGCATTTATTTTTCTTTTAATTAATACACTTTAATTAATCGGGCAAGTGTAAATTTTTTTGAATTCAATTTATCACTAATATATTTACTTTCATCCATAATTTTCTTGAAAATATTCACCGACAGTTTTATGAGAAAAATACAAAAATGTATCAATGTTTAGAAGCTACTCTACATTAATAGAAGGATTTATTTGTACCAAAAAATAATAGTTAACAAATCATTTATTAGAGACCACTTTTTAATATTAAACAAATATTTCTTAGTATTTAAAATGATTTGTTTGTATTTAATAAATATGATATTCATTTATTAAATATTAATAAATACTAAGAAATATTTATTAAGGACTAAAAAGTGGTCTCTAATAAATGATTTGTTAAATATTTTTAACTGGTACAAATAAATCCTTCTACCAGTGCACTTGCAATTTTATTCTAATTAAAGGAATAGGACTAAAAAGTGGTCTCTAATAAATGATTTGTTAAATATTTTTAACTACACTGAAAAAAAAAATTCTTGAACCAAGAAAATAATTTTGAAGAGTTTCATTGTCTTGAATCAAGACGAAAAATTCTTGAATTAAATAAAATTTACTTAAACCAAGAAAAATTTTTTAATTTAAGAATTTTTCTATTCAAATTAAGAAAATTAAATTCTTCAAAATTATTTATTTGATTCAAGTGAATTTTTTTTTCTGTGTATAAACAAATCCTTTTATCAGTGTATAAGACCAATGTTAAATTGCTCAACTTAAAAGTTAATTATTTATTTAAATACTCGGGCAATTTCCTTCAAATTTACGGAATTTATTTAGACATATTTAAACTTTAATTAAAAAAAAAAATCAAGCCTTTTATTAAAATTTGCCTTGGTGCTCGTACTACCTTAAATAAAAATCTCTGCTGATTGTGACAGAAGTTGAAGTAGACGAGCAACGAGAATTTATCTTCTCAGCACATGTCAAGAGTTCACATAAGTTCATATCGAACCCTCTCTGGCGAACCCTCGGATTTTTAAAAATAACTAGTCTGGCGTGTAAATCCCCGGGTATATTATACGCGCACAGCTGATACCCCCATGCACGTGGGAGCGGCAGCACGCGCTCGTGGGGGTAAGAGTAAGGGGGTCAGTTATGAGCATACGCAAGGGGTGCAAATAAGGGTGCGTCAAAATACAAGGGTACGTTTTAGTTTTATTTCTCTCAATATATTTATACAGACATTTAAATTTATATATATATATATATATATGAGCACGCACACAAATTTACCCTAATGTAACAGCTGACCGATTTCTCATTAATAAAAGTACGTTACGAATTCCAAGTTTTTCCCTAGCAAATGTATAAACATAAATTATTTATTTTTCTTGATATTACATCCTTTTGCCGTGACTACTTTAATCTACGCTATTTTGTACTCTAATGTGGGGAAAATTAAATCCCATGGAATATTTTAATATTAATGACATTAATTTTATGTTACGAGTGATATTTTTAGATTTATTATTACAATGAGTCATTTTTGTTGCAGCTTGGGTATAAATATTATAACAGTGGACTTCTGACAATAACAAGATGAAAATAATCAAAGGAACAAATAAAATTAAATAAAAAAATAATTTGACTTTACAATACACCAAGACTTTTGTCATGTCTCGAAATAGTAACGAAGCGTGGGCGAATGGCATTGTTTTATTTGTATGTACTTAATACTTGTGGGTTGAATCAACCACAAAAATATGGAGCTTGTAAATTATTAACGTCCATTTAATTGTATGCGGTCTCAAACCATAGGATAATTTAAAATAATAGGTAAGTTTTTTCAAACAAATCAAATATATTATTATTATTATTATTATTATTATTATTATTATTAATGTGTTTAATATATGACTATATAGATCGGTAATTTTATTTAATAAAGAGGAGAAACAAAAATAGTTATTATTATAAGCCAAGGTACCGATCCAATTCTTGAAGAATGACTAATTTTTCATTATTATTTCTTCACCGTAATATTTTATCGGTATGAGGTCTCATTACTCATACCATCAGAGAAAATTTAGGTGAAAATACAGCAATTAAAATTTTATTTCGACAATATGTGTAAAGATATAATTTTTTTATTTACTGAAAAAAGTTACACTGAATAAAAAAATTATATCTTTACACATTCTCTAACAAAAATTGTTAAAATAAATTTTAATTGTTGTATTTTCACCTAAGATTTTTTCTGATAGTGTGAGACCTTAAACCGATAAAATATTATAATGAAGGAATAATAATGAAAAATTAGTCATTTTTCAAGAATCGGATCGGGCACTTGGCTTATAATTACCATTTTTGTTTATCCTTTTTATTAATTAAAATTACCGATCTATAGAGTCATATATTAAACACATTATTATTGTTATTATTAATACTATAACTATAAAATATAAAATGATTGCTGAGGATAAATCTTCAAGTCCGTGATGCACAAATCGTCATGTCTCATTACTCCAATTGCCGGGTCGTAAACAAATGAATTTTTAATTCAATTCACCCGCTGAATTGACTTTGACCTACTGCCTTGTTTGATACTATCAAAACTCTTACAATTTACACTCATTTAATACATCAAGATTATTTAAAATTTTTTTACTTTTATTAATCAGATTTCGTAATATTTTTTTCATAAATCATCCAAGTTTATTTTATATTCCACCCCGCAAATTTATATTTTTAAATTATCCTGCCAGACAATATAGTAAAATTTTTTATCAGTATCTAAATTTATTTTTATTATTTGCAGATTCAATAAAAAAATTATAGCATTAAACTCTTTTCTAATCTCTAAAAAAATTACATACTGAAGTTTGTTTTTTTTTATCTAGAAAGTAAAAGTTTTTTTTATCAACGCAAACGCAGTTGGCGGAAGTTTACCTCGGAATTTAAAATACCTGATACATAATTCTTAATCAAGCTGTACTCAACAGTGTGTGTTCATGTTCATATAATTAAATTACTCCATCGATTACTTTATTAATTTTATTAACTTTATTAATTTTATTATTTTCAGCACACTTGCTCATCTTTCATACTCCATTAAACTTCCTTAATAAAAAAAAGTGTGAATAAAAAAAAGAAAATATAAATCTTACCGGTGATACTGGATTGCTTCCTCGCAGATGTAGGCAGAACTGGTGTTGTAGGTTCCGGAATAACGCAAGATTTCTTCGCACACTCCCCTCTGAACTCATCCTCCGGTTCCCCGATTTCCGGAACCCTGGGCTCTTGCGGGGGCGTCCTCTCAGCTTTAGGACGTCCAGAATCCATGTTCATCGGGGACAGTGACGTCGAACGCCGGTTCGCCGACGAGACACTACGTTCGTTGGTTTTTCTCGGCGTACTTGGAGCATTTTTGCGTAAGTACGGCATGCCTCGTAGCGCGTATGGCTCGGGGACGACTTCTTCATTGCTGACGACTTCCCAGTCATAGCGAGCACTGGTGTTCCTTGGCAAACCCAAGCTAAAGTCAAAGCCCCAGCGTTCAGCGTCCAGCACAGATTGTGCTTTCAACTCGCGTTCAACAAAAGCTCTCGCGGCTTCGTGGTCAACTGGACCAAATAAATCTCGTCTGACTTTAGCTAATTCAGCACGAGTTGGGACAACACGTCCACCACTACCTCCTCCTCCAACGGCGCCTCCTAATTTACGACTTTCAGTCATCATCGCAGGATTCATTACTCTCGCGCTCATTATTTAGCTTCTTTATTTTTTTTAATTATCTCAGCTCGGCTTTTAATTGTCTATCAATTTATAAATAATAATAATTTATTATTATTATCATAAATATGTAAAAAAGTTTATTTTCAATATAAATATTTATATTTATATTTAATTTCAGTATAAATAAGAAAAAAAAAGTTTGTCTTCAAATTTTAAAAATAAAATCTAGGTCAATTTTTGATTTAAAAAAAAGACCGGGAAATATTTTAAAAAATCCAGCGTGACACCATTTAATTTGAATGAAGAAATAGTATCTCAATAATACAACACTGCGTCACAAAATTAGTTGGCGCGATAGTTTAGCTTGAAAGCAAGCACGAGGACAGTTTTCCTGGAATCTCTTGGGGCTGAGTGATATCCACATACACCACCAGCACTTACCAACACATTGATATATTATGAGGCGTGTTCTCTCCTAACACACTCTCACACCCACGGATCAAAAACACACTCAACACACGCTAAAAGTGGCCTCAGGCGTATGTTGCGCGCGCAACTTTTATTAAAACTTGGCAACCCTGTCTCTTGGTCGCTTCGAACGAGTTTCTGACGTCGTCTTCGTCAATCTACACACACACACACACACACACACAAACTTGAATGTATAGATATAGATAGCGACTACCAACACATGTATACAATACTAAATCCAAGTCGAAGGCGGGAGAAAACTATCACGTTCTCTTCTGATTTTCACAACGTTAAATTTTCACACAAAATATTATGATAATTAACGGGTAGTTATTTTATAAAATTTATCTCACTTAAGTGTACCTGGCAAACGTTGAAACTTAGTTTTTTTGATAACAATATTTCTTTTAACTCCATACACAATTTTTAACTTATAACTTTATTTTTATTTATATTAATTCACTTATGTTTATATTTTTTTTATTTCAGATTTTCACTTAAATATTTAATACACAGATATTATGTCCATTTTATAAACTCTCTTGGCAACGCCGTGTAGCGGATCTTGAAGAGAACGGCGTCGAGCCCGCTCAACTCGCGAAGGATTTAAATCCGGCAACGTTGCACGCACTTGTGCTTGTGTATTGGTAATCGAGAATGGGTTGGGAATCATATACGTGTTAGAAAATGAAACGCTGGATAGAAGCGGGAGTCTTCATCACATAAAATACTATTTTATTTTAATGGTAAAAATTTTTTATTTATTTATTTATTTATTTTAAACAATATTAATAATTTTAACAGCACTATAATTGTTAAATTATCGAGTTGTGGTAAAAAAATAATTGTTACTATCCAAACAAATCGATTGCACAATGCCCGTGACACTTGATATTATTTCTTGCCACTGGTGGTGATTTAATAAACAAGTCACTAGCAATAACCAATAATATATTTTAAAAATAAATTTAACTGGAATTAACCAGAAATTATTTCCCGCGTTATTTTTGGAGCACGTTGGTAGCAGGTGACACACATCCAAAAAACAATAGCAAAAGTTTTTAAACTCGCCGCGTGGATAACGTTTTATTAATTAACAAACTGTATTTAATTTTATTATTATTATTATAAAGTACTCTGGGTGAATTGTTTAAAAACAACAAAGTACCGAGCGCATACTTGCGTTACGTACATATATAACGCTCTCTAGCGACTGGTACCAGCCGTGTTTGTTGCAAGCGTCCAAACTCCTCGCGAGTCTCGTATTTAATCGGGTAAATTCGCCGCGCCTCGATTATTTCCGTTTGAATTTTACCGCGCATGCGCAGTACCCCTTCTTTTGAACTCATTTTATTTCGTTGCTACTCGGTGACTGTCGCTGTAACCGCCATTTCCAATGTCCCGCTGTGTATACTTCACTCCGCGAAAGCACATGAGATCTGTAAATACGTATATATTGTGTATATGTATAAACCAAGCTATTGTACGAGTTGTATGCTGCGTACTAGAAGTTAAGATGGAATAAAAACCACGATTATTATCGCGTACTCTCGATCCTCGTAATAAAACAGAAAAAGATGGACGAAACTGAGTGGATAGGGCGCTCAGCTCCAAACCGAGTAAAAGTTTACTTTTAAATAAATTACCCAGATGAAAAAGACATTGATATTTTTATTTTTTTTTACCGCGTCATTAAATACGTAATAATACTAAAGCCGACGCTTTTAATTTTTTGATTTTTTTTTAATAATTAAATTAAAACGAAAAAATATTTTTAAAAAATTGCACTTACAGTTTTTCAAGTTTTTAACAACTGACAATTTTTTTTTGAGTCATTTTTTCAATAAGAAAATTATTTTTAATTTTTAAGTAAATGTCGACTAACTTAATTTTCATAAGTTAGTCGACGTTTTTAATTTTTTTTAATTATTAAATTAGAACTAAAAAATATTTTTTAAAAATTGCACTTACAGTTTTAAAGTTTTTTTTAAAATGAAAATTTTTTTGTAATACTTTTTTTAATGAAAAAAAAAATCTTAAAAATTTTTAAATGTCGGCTAACTTAATTTTCATAAATACGTATGCGTTGACTGGCCCGCCATTTCAGTTTTAACCATCAGTAATTTATTTAAAAAAGTGTAAAAATAAAATGAAGGTAAATTACTTTTTAAAATATATATTTTTCGTTGATTTTAGGTCAATAAAATATCCTCGTTATTTTTTATTTTTATATCTTTATTGGCAACATAGCCACTGGATATAAATATCGATAAAAAATGTTATGTAAATATTAATGACAACAATACTAGTGATAACACTGATAATTTAATAGGACAAAAAATTTATAACCTCTAATATTTATTGTTACTTTTATCGCAAATAAGACGAAAAAATTTCACTGACATTTAATTTTTTTCTAAATTAAAAAAATAAGTATTTAAAAATCTAATTGTTGAGAATTGCAAAACTTGAGATGTTTTTTTATTAAACAAGCGAACTTTTACAGACACAATTGTCGGCTACTTTCAGTATTACTTTAAAAATACGATGTTTAAGTAACAAATATTTAAAGTAATCTTTCTTTTAATACTTCTTTTGTTTATTCAGACATAAACAAATTAGTCTACGGATTAAAATATTTTTAGCCCATGGAGAGTTAAGATAATAATCATAAATGTTGAATTAAAAATGATACACGATAAAAAAAAAATATTTTCTCTGCAAGAATTTTTTTTCAGTTTAAATATAAAATCCGTGATCTTTAAAATTAACGACAATCTAAACAAATTATACATTTTTTTCTTGTTCCAATTCTGCTTTAATCTCAATAACTGAACCATTAAATCCGCGATTAAAGCTTAAACTAAAATTAATAAGTATCTAATTTAAATTTTAATAAATTATCCCGTTTTATTTATCAACAAAATACGATTACGCAATCAGTGCATCGGGTATTTGCATATTTATCTTGTCCGTTTGACACCCGTGTCACCCTCGAATTCCGAAAAATGATAAATTATATTAAAAAAACATATAAAAATAATAATAATAATATTTAATTAGCAAAATAATATTCCAAGTTATTAATATAAAATTTATCATTCGAGTTATCAAACAGAAGTTACAATTATAAACTCAACACAAAAGAGAATAAAATGTTTGCAGAGAAAATTTTTCATTAATTATCAATTTACTTGATAGCCATAATTGCTATTTACATAATATTATGTACATAAATACATATATATGATATATAGAACATATGAGGCGGGAAAGTAGATCCCGTGAGTGCGCATCTTGGACTCTCTTTGTATTTCAATTTCAGTTACAAGTCTTTACTTATTATATTAACTTAATATTACTTGTACACAATGTTTGTGTATTTAATGATACATGCAGCGTGTGTACATATGATATGATACATTGTATTGTATGACGGATCGAGAAAAACTCTTGTGGAGTATACTGTATATAGATGAGCATGCATGTGGGTAATCGTAGCCACTGTACGAGCACATACTATCTCTGTACATATTTTATTATAAAACACAGCAACATAAAAGCGATGCGAGTTCGAGCCTGCTAGATTCTTTCGGTTCTCTCCTTCTTTCTTGTTCTTAAGAGCTGCGAGCTCGATCCCGATCGCGCGGGGGCGGTTATTTTAATTTAATAGACGGCAGCAGTATCGTTCAGCGGGAAAAATTTGAATATTTTGTTTTTTCAAGCTAGAAGTTGATCAAAAAATAAATATAAAAAATTTTAGTTGAAGGTACCCTGATAGCGACGCTTTTTTTTTTTTTAAGTAGTTGGATTTCAGGAGTTACAGTTGATTTAACATCAAGTTTGCTGTAATTCTTTACAGTACAACAGCGGCTGCCCAATTTCAAAACACAGCAACTGACAATTTTAAGATTTTTTTTATTAAAAAAAAGTTTGCGCGCCAAATTGATAAAAAATTTGATTTATGAATAGAAATACTTGAATGTAAATATTTTTAAGAAAAATTACTTGAAATTAAGGTCTAAGAGTTACAAGAAATGCAACAATACTGAAAAAAATCAGGCATACAAATTTTGCAGTTACTGTGTTTTAAAATTGAGCAGCCGAACAGTTGTACACAGAAAGAAAAATTTCTTGACTGGAAAACAAAATTCTTGACTCAAGAAAATTTGTCGGGTGCTTGAAAAAAGACCGAAGTTGTGTTGGCTGAAGTAAAAATTTTTCTTGAAATTTTATTCTTGGTGGAAGTAATTTTTTCTTAATTCAAATTATCATAAATTTTTTTCATTCAATTATACATATTGAATGAAAAAAAATGATTCAATATTATTTGATCTTCCCATTTGATATGTTAATCAATAAAAATATTAATGAAAATTTACTTCTATCTTTATATTTAATTTTTTGAAGCAAGAGAGAAATTTTCTCAAGATAAAGAAATTTTCTCTTAAAGCAAGAGAATTAATTTTGTTAGAATAAGTGAAAATTCTTGTCAAAAAAAAATTTTTTTTTCGCTCAAGAAAATAAGAAGAAAAATATTTTTTTGGCTCAAGTGAACC